CCCATTTCCCCCTCCCTTCGGGTGTTCACCCCCTTGGGTTGTTCCCCCTGGGAAACCCCTTCCCCCTTTTCACCCCCCCCCTTGAGGTGTTGAACCTTCCCCCCCGGGGCCGGGTTGGGGAACCACCCCCCCCCCTAAAAAAAAAAAAGGGGGGAAACCACGGGGGTTCGAAAACAAGGGGAACCAAAAAAAAAAAAAAAAAACCGGGGAAAAAAAGTCCTTGTTCCGGAGCGGGGGTTTCCACCCCAACCACCCATTTCCCGGCGTTCCCCACCCTGGGGTTCCCCCCTTCCCCCAGGGGAAATTCAATTGGAACATCCCTTTGGAGTGGGGTTTTGGGGCGGGGGTGTGGGAACAAAACCGGGATTACCCCAACCCAAAATTTCTTACCCCCCAAAAAAAAAAAACCAAGGGGGGGGGGGGGGGGGGGGGGGCACAGAAATGGGAGCAGCGGAGAGAGTGTAGTCGGGATCCAAAACAATCAGCATCGCGAGGAGCGAGGAGAGCAGCAACAAACAAACACAGCCGATGCGAGGCTGCAGCGGTAGCGGGGACCAGTTGGTTTGCAGGCACGAAACCACGAGTCTGCTGAACTTTGGGAGACGAGTCGAATCACCGCAACAATTTAGAAGGTTTCATTGTTGACAGGCGTGCTAGTTCTACAGATGCCACTCACTGCTTGGTCCCTATGTCCCTACGTATGTAGCACCAACAACACTGCTGCCGTATCGCCCTGTGGCCATCTACACAACGAAAGCGGAATGTACCGGCTGCCGATGTGCTCCTCGTGCCACTACTGCCACCACCACCACCACCACCACCGCTGTTGATGCCCTGCCACACCCACCCACACACAACCCCCCGCTCTCGACAAAACACCCCCCCAACCCACTTTGAAGGCGGTGATCATGCTCTTGCAGTCCGTGATGTGAGCCAGCAGCCGCAGCTCCAGCTGTCCGTAGTCCGCCACCACGAGGGTGTTGCCCTCCTCCGCACGGAAGGCCGCCTGCGGGACGGCACGACGCGAGACACGGCCACGAGAGACGACCAGTCATGCACCACCAGCGTAGGGGGGGGGGGGGGGGGGGGGGGGGGGCTTCCCTTCCCC